CTACTTCCATTATGGCAAAATGACCATCAGAAAGGCAAAGGTAGAAGTGTTAAGGGCAAAGAAAAGAAAGGAAAAGGAGATCAGAAAGGAAAGGAATGTGATCACAAGGGCAAAGGTAAAGGTGTGGCAACATGGTGCACTTGTGGAAGGGCAGGACATCTTGCTAAAGACTGTTGGAGGGACAATATCCGACAGGTAGCAAGTGATCCAGCCCATTCATCTTCGGGAGGAACATTAGTGACAACTCATACAGTTGGTCACCAACAGATTGACGCACATGTCATATGCCAATTGGTGTAAGGAGTGTATTGAACAACGAGCGCGTCTAGATCGCCGTGAGAGAACAGATGGAGTAAAGGGAGGAAGTATGAAGTAAGCTACACAAGAGGAAGGGATTCAGAAACAAAGTCGGCAAGGGCAGTATGTCATTCATTTTGTTGTGCCATTAGGAAGCAAAGGACAGTTTCGTCTCATTGCGCAAGAGTTGATGAATTTCTGCCAATTGTTGGGGTATTCAGCAATCGCCTGCAGGAGTGACAATGAACGCGCAACAAGACAAGCCCTCAAGATGCTGATCAATGCTCGCCAGAGTTTTGAACTACCAAACTTGGAGATCGTTCATTTCTGTCAGAGAAAACAGTTGACAGAGTGAGAACGCTGGCAGGAACATTCATTGAAGGTGTGCAGTCAAGACTTGTATCAGGATTGGATCAGATCATGCACTTTGGACGTGGCAGCAAGACTTCAGCTTGTCAAGGGTGCAACTTCCTATGAGCTTGTCTATGGCAAGAGTTACAAAAAGGACTTCTAGCAGAGTATCGTGAACCAGTTCATGGTTTCATCAGGAGTCTCAAAAAAGGAGAAGCAAGATGGCGTTTGTGCTTGTTCCTAGGAAAAGTTGAGAGGCAAGATACCTATGTACTCACAGATGGAGTGCAAGTAGTGCTTAGCAAGCGCATCAGAAGAACAGATCAATATTGGCCCAAGTACTTACCCATATACGAAAGCTTCAATGCATTTTCACGGGGGTATCAAACCATTTTTGGAGGCAGAATCGTTGCCGCCAAGAGAAGAGCAGAAGCATTACCAGCAGCGCAGGCCGACATGCCTCGAGAACATGTAATGGTGAAGTTCAGAGATGAGGACGCAGACGCAGTTATGGCCAAGGCGCTGGAAGGAGGATTTGATTAAGAAGAAGCAATGAAAAGAGATGGAAGTGAAAGAAAGCCAAGTGGAAAAGAGACACCAAGTAAGAAGCAGAAAGTTCTCTTTGTGAAAGCATTCCCCTGTACATCTTTGCCGGCAGGACAGCCAAATGCAATTACCCCTGTTTTATCTTCATTGAGGTCATCAGCGCCATGCAGACCCAGAGAAGCCTTAGAATTGCTTGAGGAGGAAAGTCCAATGAAGCAACTCAGGCTGTCAGATGATTCAAGCAAGAAGGCCAAGATCAACTTGGTTAAAGTTGGAGCAGAAGATCTGTACCATGTACATGAAGAGTTATCCCTAGTTGCAGACGAAGTTGATTCGATGAAGAAGAGCAGGAAGATGAAGAAGATGATGCTTCAGGCACCAATGGACAACCTGGAGATGCCTTTCAGTCAAGAGGTGGAAGGGAAGATCAAGACTAGTTGCAAGAGAATTTGCTTTTGCTGAAGCAAAAAAATGACATTTTCCCACCAGCGACTTCAGGGCATGTACTGAAGCTTCTGCCAACAACATCCTTGCAGAGAATCAGTGAAGAAGGTGAGGCAAGAGAGGGAGAAGGAGCATATCACAGGTGCTAGGATGTCTTGATGTGAAAGACGCATTTCTACAAGTTCCACAAGAGAAGCCATTGAATTGAAGCGAGGAAAAGAGTTCCTAGCGAAGAGGAATCTACCTGGACAAAGAGTTGGAGCAAACGCGTGGTTTACTTTTCACAGGGTACTTCACAGAGGAACCCAACTACAAGTTCAGTGCTGAGTGTCCATGCCTAGGAAGGAGTGAGATGAGTATCATTTTGATCCATGTGGATGACTTGGTTTTCACAGGAGACTCAAAGTACGCCAGTGTGAGCAAGATTGAGAGGATGGGAGATGAGTTCAATTTTCTGAGGAGAAAGTACAAACTGGAAGTTGATGGAGTGTGGATCCAACCAGGCAGTTACATCCAGCAGATGGTGAAGCCCACAAAGAGCAGGTTGGGTTTATCAAACCTCAACAACTACCAGCCGACGACGTGCCTTTTCAGAAGCATTGTGGGATCAGGTATCTATCTATGTCAAGAGAGGTATGATGTAGCATTTACAGTGAAGGAAACGGCTTCAAGAATGTAAAACCCTACAACTATCTCATTTCATCGCTGGAAGACATTTTTAGGATAGTTGAAGAAGACTACGGGGACAATTGCCTAGTGCTTGAAATTCCACAAGCAGGAGAAGGTTATGTCAAGAAAGGAGACAGCTATTGGCGCTTGCAGACGTTTTCAGATTCAGACTGGAGTAAAGAAAAAAGGCCACAGAAAGTCAATGTCAGGAGGCAATAGTTGTCCATTGTTCAATAGCAGCAGAACACAGAAGATCGTTAGCTTATCTTCATGTGAAGCAGAACTACATGCAATAGCTTCCTCAGCATCAGATGGAGTCTTTATCAGAGCAGTTCTCGAATTTGCTCTTGGGACAAAGACGGACCATTACATCTGCGCAGATTCATCCAGTGCACGCCAACTTGTGAGTCGCGAGTTGGAAAAGTGAGGCGTTTAGATGAAGGTTGCTTTGGGTTCAGAACAGGAAAGACTTCAAGATGGTACAAGTGCCAACAGACAGCAACATGGCAGACCTCAACGCAAAGCTACTTGGAGGACAAAGAATCAGAGACTTGATGAACCTAATTGGTTACTGGCGCACGGAAGATCAAGTGAGAGTAAGAGAATATGAGAGAATGGAATTTGAAGAAGAATTTTGCAGGAAAGGTCAACAAGATTGCAAAGATGCTTGTGAGAATGGTAGCGTTGCGGGCTTGCAGCCAATGGTTACAGAAGCGTTCTTGCAAGAAGGAGACAATATCCAGTGTGGATTGGAAGACATGAGACTGGAAGAGGTGAAGCCAATGACAACTTGAGATTTAGGGTCATAGTGATCATTGCAATCAACATCATTTTCTTTGCGTCAGTAGTCTTTGCACCATGGAAGCTCCCAAGCGCGCTGAAGACCACTATGGTGAGCTATGGGGTCATATAGAAAGACACTATGGTGAGCTATGGGGTCATATAGAAAGACACTACAATGACAATTGGCAGTACACTGATTGGAGATCAAATGACCCAGAGTTCACGACTACAGAACGTGAAATTGGTATCATAGATTGTGAGAATGATGCAGATGATACAGATCTACTCAAAGATTATGACGTAAAATAGCAGATAAGACAGGGGCCTCTTAAGCTCGCTTAAAGCTCGCCCAAAACTCGTTTTCAAGCTCGCTTAAAACTCGCTTGTGCTGTGCTGATGTCCAATGGAAGCTCAAGAGTCAACAGGAAAGTCCAAAGCAAATTCAACTGATCATTAAAAAGTTCAAGCAAAACTCAGAGAAAGTCCAATTAAAGCTCGCGCAAAAGTAGTTTCCCGTGGCGTGAGCGTCGTGGTGAGTTCGGTGCTAGTTTATTTCGAGCTAAGCTCGCAGAAAGCTCGTGAAAAGCTCGTGCGCATTCAGTTTTTGAGCTTCGATTTGAGCTTTTGTCTAGTTTTCTTCTACCAAAGCTCGTCAAAAGCTCGCGCAAAGCTCGCCCAAAACTCGCTGAGCCGGCGCTTCCCTGATTTCTCTAGCTCCTTGAGTTTCGCTTGAGCTGTCCTTTGAACCTGTGAGTTTTGCTTGGACTTTGCCTTGAACTTTTGAGTTTTGCTTGGACTTGCCTGGTGAGAGGTGAGTTTTGGTTGGACTTTTGAAGTGAGTTTGGACTTTTTTATTTTTTATTTTTAAGGTATAGACCCCCTTGTCTTATCTAGCTATTTTACATCATAACTCAAAGACTATGTCGCAAAAATTCACAGTGGATAGATTCTGAATGGAGGTTTTGTAGAGAGAGAGAGAGAAGCGCCAAGTCGACAGGCTATTCTTAGCTGTGACATTTTGAATGAGAGCAGCGCAGGAAACTTCTTAGGAAGAAGGAGTTTGGAAGCTACGCAAGTTTAGAAGGATGGTATGAAGGACATAGAGTGATGTTAGAAGCAGCAAATGAAGGAGGAAATCCATCAGAAGGACCATTGAACAGATCATTCTCAGTGGGAAATAGTGATGTATCCATGAGATCAAGCGATGTCGATACAGATGTAAGGTAGACTCAGTGCTTGAATGGCTAGGAGCTTGAAACCAAAATGCTGCAGATAGAGTTGAGGAAGAACTGAAGAAGTACAAAGACCTACTCGAAATAGCAGAATGCAGAAGAGACCATCCAGATCCAGATGCCAACCCAACAGCAGTACACTCTAGGAACCCAGTTTTTGAGAGAACAGCCAACTTACAGAGAGAGGTATATGTGAAATGGGGGAAGATGGACTATGGTGGCAAAGTGAACCCAAAGAGGCTTTTTAGGGTCCCACACCGCCAAGAAGGAGTGCGAACCATTTTCCTTGTGAATCACACTCGGTATGTGTAACATCACATGCATCATGAAGACCTGTTGCAGCCTTTTTTGAATATCAAGAAAAGGTGCGTATATATATATATGTGTATTTGCGTTGTTGCCTGCAAAAATAGCAATGTGCCGATGGCACTTGATATGGTCATCCATTTTCCCGGATGCTGTAGTCGATGAGCCCCAACACATGCTCACTGTCGAGCCTAGGCAATAGTAAACTTAGCAGCATCAAACAAGCCCATGTTTTTGCATGGTCTTGAATTGTATGCATGGTAGCTTGCACTTTTAGGTCGCAACGCACAAACACACCAAACAATTAACGCCCAGAGGTATGTGATCACATTGTGACAGCATGTTGTGCGTGTATTTTCCGGATTGCTCTTTATGGCCTGTGAGGCCTCCACTTGGAGTGTTGTTGAGCCTCATGGCTGGAAACCGATGGCCCGCTATGCTCACCAAGCTTTAATGGGCGCCGATGGGCGCATGTGGATCTATGGCGGATACAACATCAACGGGACGGCAAAAGAGGGCGTTGCCATGGTATCCCGGTGAATATGCATCGTTCGAACAATGCAATGAGTTGAAGGCACAGGAAAACTATCCAATGAAGAAAGGAACAAGAGTCGCGTACCTGTTTTGTAAAGAAGGCCTAAATGATGTTGTTCCTTACTTGCATGCAATGTGTGGCTATTGTTGGTGTTGTTTTTGCAAAATAAGGTCGCTCTCGATCGCTTGTACTGCTTTGACACGGACAAACGGATCTGGTCCGCGCTCACAGCTGCAGGGTCTGCCCCAAATTATCTTGGTTATCCCTTCGTAGCCATGGATGCGGCAGGGCGCATGTGGATGGGTGGTGGTTTTATTTCTTCCACTGAAGTCAATGCGAATCTCTTCTATCTTGAGACTTGATGCTTTTATAGAGTTTTATCTTCAGACCTTTGTGCTGACTTGCATATGCTTGACAAGTCATGTATGTATGGACGTGACGTAGGTGTGTTCTACGTGCCCAGGGATTCTTCTATATACTTCCTAGTAGCTTGAACCCACGAGACACCCAACAAAAATCGAAACAAATCCGCAAGACTTGTTTCATGTTGAACCTTCCCACTGTCAAGCTTGCTGCGTTTCCGTGTTGGAGTCGTCCAGTTTGAGATCCTTCAAGCTCCTCCAAGGACACCCTATCCACCGATTTGCAATGGAAGGACAGGGCTCATGAGTGGTCAAACCCAAGTTTATGGATGTCTTGACATTTTCTTCAGGTTTTGATGCGGACTTTGCAGTTGTTGATGCATGGGAGTCATTGATGACCACCTTTCGACGGAATCTAGGAGGTTGAAGACTTTAAGTCAGATGTGGATGGGCCGCCACTGAATCGCATCGGTGCCGAAGCTGTGATGGAAGCGAATGGGAATATGTGGATTGTGGGAGGTATGACGGAACTCCGTGTCTTGGATAGAAGTTAAGAGTCAGAGTCAGATTTTGGGTTCTCGGAACATGTCAGATCCATCTAAAAGCACATACTGTAAGTCGTCCAGATCCATCAGCTTGGCTGCTCCAGCTAGCTGTCGGAAGATGAGAAAGAGCATTCCTTCGTCAACTGGTGGAATGGGTCGAATCTGTCTGTCAAATCTCCAGCTCGCATGATTTAGGGGCGAAGGTCCATTATACAAGCGTTGGTTCCGAATGGGGTTTGCTAAAGGATTGGCCGACGGGCGCATTCTTGGGCCGAAGTCTGAAGGTCTGGAGTGTGACATTTTCCTGGACAGGTCTGGCATGATATGTTCTTCACACCCGCACATGGCATCCTGAGCGATTCACACATGCTTTCATACCATTTCATGCCCTGAGAGCCACAGAGCCACACTTGTTGGTTTGGTGGGTTAGGTCCTGTTACAACGTAGCTGTAGCATTTTTGCAGCTGCGCGTGTGCTGAGCCATGTTTTAACTTGTTGGTGAACGGGACCAATGGCTGGGGGTGAGCGGCTTCTGCGTACCAAAATACATTTTCTTAGGTGGGCGAAAGAATTGCTGCTTTGCTTCACTCAAAGCTCAGTGCTGGTGAAACTGATGTCTTCTAGACAAGCTTGTGCTTGTAACAGTAGTCAAGATCTGAATGCTTATCCAGGGTCCATTAAAACTCCGCAGGTTCAGGAGTGATAGGATTGGTGCTGCGTCTCGCCATGGGAGTATGATGCCCGAATAGGCAGGAGATTGAGCAGGCACCTTTTCGGTTAGTATGGTGAGTCATGTAAGGTCAGCAACTTCCATTGTGCCGGCTGGCCACCGCTGTCCAAGCGCCAACGACAGCCACCACCACCACAACTCCGCGCCCTGACCCTGGAACCTACATATGGATCATCTTGCTGGTGGTCTTACTTTGCATCATCATCTTGGGGGGGCTGCTGTTTCTCCGCAAGAGGCGCAACCTGAAACTCTTGCAGGAAAGGCAGGATCCGCAGCAAGTGGAGATGGGTGAAGCCAGGCGTGCCTAGTGACCCCAGTGTCTTGGCCGAAAAGTGTGGATGCAAAAATCCATATCAGCTGCAAGCAAGTTTGAGGCAAGGAGCTTGGAAATTTATTGCTCACTTTCCTGGCTTTGCCTCCAAAGCAGAGGACTTGCTGCATCAGCAATGCCAGAGCCAGATCATGTGAGCGTACTGAGCGTACTGAAAGAGAGAAAGGCAGACCGAACAGACAGACAGACAGACAGAGAGAGAGAGAGAGATCGTTTGCTTTGTTTCCCTGCCATGCCTTTTCGGACGAATAATATGTGCTTAGCGTCCTGGGTCGGGATTTGCAATTGACAGGCATGTCAACTCCACCACGGCGGCAGAGCCATACCCCAGCTGCTTGACTGGCAAGCAGAATGTTGCAAGTCTCCAGAAAAATGGTTGGTTAATTTGCAAACTTGTGGTCATGAGTCTCGGTCCGCTGGTGCTAAGGACTGGGGTGGCCCTCCGTTCTCCGAATCGCCCTGATCTCGGCATGGAAGCGTTGAATCGCTTTCGAACACGATTGAATACTGGCACGTTTACTTGGACATAGTCCAAACTAAAGCTCCAACATATTCACATAGTGCTTTTGCACCTTTCTTGCAGCTTTGCTTTTGGTCAACTTGAGATGGATCATTTGTTTTCCAGGGCCACATGATCGTTGACACTGCACATTTTTCTTTGTTCATTCCAGTGCCCCGACTGCAAACGGCTTTCTGAGGCCGGCCCTGCCTGGTTCGCGAAGCCAGGTGGAGATGAAGAGACGAGTTGTTCTATATGGCTTGATCACTTCGCAAAGCAGTCGTTCCTTTGTAGTCTTCCTTTGGCTGCTTGAAACGCATTCTTTCTGCGCATGGAACCAAACAAATAGACATGCAAATCCCGCAGTCTAAAACTTAGCCGCTGAACCTTAGAAATCGGGACGCGTCCGCAGCTCCTGAGCTCCATGTTTGTGGATTATATACAGTGGCAATTTCTTGCCGGCATGCTGCAAAGCCTTGCACACATGTACATAGCCCACTAGTAAATCTGTACTTGTGGGGTTAGTCTGTCCCTAATTGAGCACCAAGCCCTTCCAGATTTTGCAATTTCTTGAGTTTTCCAGAACCAGTCACATGACGAGGTGCCCCGACACTATGGGGGCCTGGAGGACAGTGGGGTCCCCGGTGAAGGATGGGAGAGGAAGAGCTCGGGTGTCCCCGTGGTTGGACATTTTTCGAGATATCCCAAGCATGTGCAGCATGAACTGAGACTCTCCAAGAAACTCTTGGACAAGCCTCCGTCAGGGATGATGACGTTCGTTAGGGAGTGTTGGGTGAGGCCGTAGTGTCTGAATGAGTTATTTGCCACTGACCTAGGTGCCATCACTGTGCAAATTCGTGGCTCTAGAGATCAGGCGAGAGTTCATGCCCGAAGTGTGCAACTCTACAGGTCGTCGGCACCTGTGTTTTTTTTGCATGACAAACTACAGGACTGTGCATTTGACATCGAATCGAAGGACTACAATCGAATCCTTGTCAAACACCACCTATTTTCATTGGGCGAGGCTTGGTGGCCAACTTGTGCTAATGAAACTAGATGACACTATATAGAATGTTTTCTTTTCTTTTGTTCAGCTAGTTTCAATGGGGAAGAATGAACAGCGTCTAAGCACAAGTGCGGAGATCTTTTCGGTGTCCTTTCTATGCAGGCCGTGGGCGATAGTGCCACCACTTTGGCCTCAAAGAGACAGGTGGGCAAGTGTGGAAAGGCTGTTAATTTTCTCATCCAGATTGCGATTTGTTTCATTTTGTGTCAAGGCGAGAGTAGAAAAATTAGAGGCGAGTTGGACATGCCAAAAGTTGGTTTGTTGGATTGAAGCCCTACCGTGCTGGGGGCCTGTTAAGCACCCCTTTGGAGCAGCATGAAGTACCAGGCATCGAGCTCTTTAGATGCTTGGCTTCAGCCGGTGAAGAGCTCAGCTGCTTAGGCTGTTAGCTTGTCCATGGCAGGTTTTTTAAGGTCGCTAGTAGCTAGAAGCTACTAGGTGGAGGCCATCGCTATTACCCTTTTGCTACTAGTAACGAAAAGCTACTAGGGATCTATCTGACACCACACCACATCCAAACCGAAGGATGGGCGACATTTTCTCGTGCATGTGTGCACCTAGGGCGACGTCAATTCCCAGCTGCTGGGCCAAAACTCGAAAACATCGACTGTTTGGATTTGTTTGTAATGCACTTAGCTACTAGTACAAGAAGCTATTACTAGTTACTAGTAGCCATGGCCTCCAACCTACTAGCTTCTGGCTACTAGTACTGTTTGGATTTGTTTGGCCAATTGCTGGAACAGCCGTGGCTCAATTTGACCTCCGAGGCTTAGAGCCCTCAAAGATTTGCAGAGTAAGTGCTGACAGAAGATGTGAGGGGTTCTCATATCCTTGGGAGCTCAGAATTGGTCTTACCTATATATATATAGATAAATTGGGGCCACACGACGGATCCTGTTGAGATGCTGTCCTGAGGATGCGTCGAACTCGATCATTGCCGACCTCGACACTAGGCGTAGCAGAAACAAGGTGTGTAGAAAAGAGAAATCCACTTGGACAAACGAGCTCTTACAGTAGCGCTTGGAAGCACAACCCCAAGACAACATGAACAAGCAACAGTTTGCAGGACATTGCTGGCAGACTTGTGAATCTGTGGAGCCACTGTATCTCGCAGAACTTGTGGTCTGAGAGTCTCAAAGGGTTGTTGGCTTTCTCATTGAAAAGCGAAATCAAAGTATCAGAACACCCTGGTCTGAAATGTTTTCTCGAATGAGGATCGGCGGATCGGGTGTGCTTTTGGCCGGGGGCTGTTGCAGGCGCTGAGCGCGGAATGCCTGGTATGCGATCTTGGGCTCCGCAGCTGGTGAGCCCGTGATTTGGTGATCGAATGGAGTTCGTGTTCTTTTGGGTTGGCAAGCCTATTTCTCAGCACTGAAGACTATTGGAACTATGTACAGTCACTATGGGATGGCATTTGCATGCACTCCGTTTCCTTGTTTGGCTCCAAAGGCCACCCTGACCGACTTCCCTGACCGACGTCTCGCAGGTCTTGGACTTCGGGCCGAGTGGCAGCTCGGAGGCGATCTGCGAGATATAGATTTCAGACACAGAAAGAACAAGGGACAAGCCAGCAAAAGCAGGTTTAGAAGCAGGACAGGACCTGAGGAGAGGCCCAATGCGGTGGCTTGCCGGGTCTACAACTTGGCACCGATCAGGATGACCGAGCGCGCATGGCTCAGCAGCTGCGACCACAGCTGCAGATGCCAAGGGAAGAGGCCAGAATTGCTGACATTTTTGGAGAGGTCCTGCACAGCCGTGACTCTAACAGAGCTATTGAGCCAAGCTATCCAAGTTTAAATTGTTTGTGTGGTGCGGATACAAGTGTCTTGCCACTTGATGACCGATGACCCTTGTACTAGTAGGGTGCCATAGGATTCACAGATCGTGTTTTCAAGCTCAAGCCTCCTGCATAGATTTCTTGGGTTTCTTTAGTTGTGACCCTACACTTTCCTGAGCTCCGGACTATCATGTCCAGTGGACAACGCTTGGATTGGGTCACCATTACCCGTCTTCTTCTTGGACCTGACATGGCCCTGGGCCTTGAGGCATCTCAGGCCACGAAAGCCTGCGGGAGCTGTGGGAGCCACCTGGCGCCAGATGCAAACTTCTGCCGCAAGTGTCTTGGTTTCAAGATGTTTCAAGGGAGGAATCTGCTAGGGAGCGAGAGCGTACAATATATGAGGTAAAGAAGGTTCAGCAAGTGAAGGTATGGATGGGTTCTTCATTGCAGGTGCGATGGAGAATGCTTGAGGCCCCCATGTAGATACCCACCAATCCTTGCCTTTTTGGTCCAGCACAGTGAAGAGCAGCCGAGCACGTCTGAAATGAGAGCTTGCCAGTGAAGAAGAAGAAGAAGCAGAAGAAGAAGAAGCAGAAGCAGAAGCAGAAGAAGCAGAAGCAGAAGAAGCAGGAGGAGCAGAAGACAGACACTTTGTAGCCCCACATTACACCAGTTGAATGGGCACAAAACAGATTTTGAAAGCATGTTTATTAGGTGGAGGCCATCGCAAGTAGGTAGCTGGAAGCTACTAGGAACAAAGGGCATCGCTACTAGGAGCAAGGACGCTACTAGTAGCTCCTGGCCTTACTACTAGGAGCAAGAAGCTACTAGTAACAAGAGGCTACACTAGGAACAAAATCTCCCCAAAGGCCGTTCGCCGCTCAGAGCTCCGACAAAACCCTTCGAAGCTTCCGAGGTGTGGGAGGCCACGCGAGGAGCTGAAGACGTCGGCCACATCGTGTGATGTTTTGGGGAGTTGGACCGGAGTTGGATAGCTATATATATATATATATGTGTGAAAGTGCATGCTTGTCTTGGAATCTGCTGTGCTTGAGATGTGGCATTTGTTCGCGGCCACTTTTTCTCAATAGGCCTAAAGCCATTTAGACTACGCGATTTGCCTTCGCCGGAAAAACCGTTTTGCACTGCAGACCTGATTTGCGTCTGTCTGCTATTTGCGTCTGTCTGCTACACGCACATATACATACATATATCATATGTATATATGTTTAGAGTGGTATTAGTTAGACCGGTAGATACTTTCTAAAATGAATGTCTATGGAACCAAGCTTGGTTTGCCGCATTCTGATAAAATGTCTACTTGCGTATTTGAAATATATGGCAGTAACAAGTGCATCGCTACTAGTAACAAGGGCATTACTACAAGTGGCAAGAAGCTACTAGTAACAAGTGCATCGCTACCAGCCTACCAATGTCTACTTGGTAGTAGTTTGGTTCGTTGATAATCTGCAGTTCTTTGCCGGTTATTTGGCCAGCATGTTCAGCCACTCGCCTCGTTGTGACGCCTGCCTAGCGCAAGGACCAAGGAGAAGCCTGCCGCTCTTCCGCGCGGCGTGGTGCGGATCCGCAGAGTCAGAGGATTTGTTGCTGGTTTGATCACTGGCTATTCCTAGCTATTCGTCAGCCGAAACATTCACATTGGCCGGCTGGACTGATCAGAAGTAAAGTTGGCAAACAGGATTGCTCCTGAAATAAACAGAAGAAACATGAAAGCCTTGGCGCAGAATGCCCTAGTGTCTCCGATGGATGCTTCGTGGATGAGAGAGAATCAGGCTCCCATAGATTAAGGGGACCCATACGACCTTCTTTTCAAAGCCTAAACGGGCCTAAAGGCCAAACGACCAGGAAACCTAATAGGCAATATTGAAGTATAAAGGACACCTAATAGCAATGGCCTCCAACCTAATAGCGATGGCCTCCAGCCTAATTACGATGGCCTCCAACCAAAAAGGAAAAGAACAAGGCTGGTATTTGAATGGTAGTAGAAGCCTTCTATTAAATTCATTCACAAATACAACTACCATTCACGGGCCTTTGGATCACCAGGTGGCTCTTCCAGCAGCGGGGCCGAGCAGTCACGGAGGCTGGTTCCGAGGTGGCTTGGTGAAATTTTTCCCGGTGATTCTTCAAAGCAAAGAAACACGGCCATCCACAAGGCCTTCCATGTTCGATGTTTGACTCGTCAGGCAGGTTGAATAAACTAGCAGGTGGGTTGCGAGGACTTATGCGATCTTATGCGTGGTGTTTGTATTCACGCCGCTCCGCGGCTAGGTCCGCCCGCACCGCCGCGAAAGAATAATAGATATATGCAAAACATTGGCATCGTAGAATCTTGAACTCCCCAATCCGTTTCTACAAACCCCTCCATTAAGCCACAGTCTGCTAATCAGCGGCAAGAGAGCAGAGGGCCCTGAGAGGTCAAAAGCAGGTATGAAGAGAGTATAATGAGTCAGTTAAGAGTTGAACATCCCAGTATTTTTTTGAAGAGCAGGTATGAGTAACTTACGAGATGGAGTCTCAAGCAGTTAAGCAAACTGCAGCTGGAAGTTTGACGCGCTGGTTGAATGGCCCCTTTGATTCTTCCATCTCGGCAAAGCACTGTGATTGACGGAGCGAGGTTTGTGACGTAGACGTTGCCGAAAACACGACTATGTACCGTATTTTACAGTGTTTTTACGTTCTGTGAGGCAGAAACCACTGCAAATATCGACGTTTTTGAGCTTGCCGTGGCCAAAAGCACCACTTTTTACAATATTTTTCAGTGTGTTTATGCTTTGCGAGGGAGAAAACACTGTAAATATCGATGTTTTTGAGCTTGCCGTGGCCCAAAACACTGCTATTTACAGTGTTTTTGAGCCTGCTGTCAAAAAACACTGCAATTTGCGACGTTTTCAACAACGTGGCCGCCAAAAACGCTGCTATTTGCGAGGTTTTTTACGTTTTCGTGCAAAGACGTCAAGCCTAGACAATTTACAAAAACACTGCAAAAACCAATGTTTCCGCCCAGGGCTTGGGCCCAGCACCTGGACCCTTTTGAAAGGGTTTGTCAACTGCCCTGTCTGGTGATGCCATCTCTTGGATTTGGCCATGACCATCGACCCGAAGTTGACCATTGGCTTCGACCCTACTCCCAGCCTTTGAAGTTGTAGGCGAAGTCGTTGAGTGGCTGCGTGCCTCAAAGCACATGGCCATAGCGAAGCCTCCACCTTACTCGTGTGTAGGAGAAGCCTCATCCTTCGTTTGAGCTGCAGCAGCTCTGCCTCCACTCTGCCATTTGACTGGCCGTCATCACCCGAAGTCATCGTGTGAACCATCTCCCGAGCTTGGACCCACCTGGCCACCGCCTTCGTGAGGAAGGACTTCTCCCTGTCTGAGTGCAGCCTGCATGGCCGGACCCCCAACATGCTGTAGTGAGCATGGATTTTGGAGAGCGCCTGCACGATGTCCTCCACCGCTCGAGACTGCATCGGCTCTGCAATCGTGAGGTTCTGAAGAGGCACCTCTTCTTGAGCTCTCTCCAGTGCAGCTTTCATGTTCAGTTCAGCCACCTGCTCCTCCGAAGCCAACTCGACCTCCTCTTTCTCTTCCTCAATGTCCACCGCATCCTTGACCTCCGCCTCGTGGTCCAGTGGTTCCTCTGGTGCCCCAGCCAGATCCTTCACAATCGGCACCGGGATCGTCGCCACCATCACATACTTGCACCACTGGTTCAACCCAAGATCTCGGCCCTGCTCAAACGGACCCATGATGTCCACCGCCATCACAAAGGCTGAAGAGGCGTTTTTGGATCTCCGATGCGGGCTTGAGAATCCCATCGCCTCCACACAATCCCGACAATCCCTCCTGTACGGAACATGCTCCTGATTGATGTGTCTCTTCCACTCCTCCACGTCCATCTTGGCCAAGCCAGCATGAGCCCTCCCCCCAAACCGGAGGTTCAAGGCCAATCCAATGGCCTTGACCAGACCATCTGACCATCGTGCCCACGAACGAGAGAGACTCGTAGGTTTTCGCCTGCAATGCCCCGTTCTCCCTTGATCGAAGCTCACCATGCTCATTCCATACTCCTGAGCCATTCTCTTCAACAAGGGCCACTCGAAGAAGGATGGATGCTCATGTCCTTCCTCAGTCCCTTCTCCCATATAGCTGGCGGGATCCTGCGGAGATTCCAAAAGAAAGGCCACTGGTTCAGGACCTTCACGATGCTCGTCCGCAAGATGCCATAGACCCACCTGCTTCAGTGCTTCAGTCACCACCAAGGCGGAGTCGCCCCGTACCTGTTCACGCTCACGAGCGGTCAGCCCCTCCAATCCCCAGCGATCAGAGCCACGGCCTCTCACCCTCCTTGGTCCTGGGGGCCCCCGGCTTCTCAGCCTGCTCGTGGTTCTGCAAGGTGGACCTCCAACAATCGCCTTCACCTTCACAGATCGAGCCAGTGAGCAAACATAGCTCCACACATTCACATTGTGCATGTTGAAGCCATCCCCCAACTCCAAATCCAGGAAAATCCAATCCATGTCGTCTGGCAAGGTGCCCTTCCAACGCCCTAGCAAAAACGGCGAAAACTGTCGCCCAAACAGCTCCGAAATCGCAAAATCTGGTGCCCCGGCCGCCCGACAAGAGACATGAAAAAAAAGAACGTCTTGAAACCGAAAATCGAAGACCAAATGTAAAAAAACTCAATGTTTTTTAACGTTTATCTTGCCGATTCCGGGCGGGCGCACGCGGTAACTAGTCCATTCCGTGCTGTAAAACACAGTATTTTTTTAATACCGCCGTCACGACCTATCAAAAACTCATAGTTTTGGCCTCGAAAAGGGTCCCCCCCCCAGGTAAACCTGACCTTACAGTTGTTGATGCCATCCGGATGATCACGCCCTGAGCACCTTCGGTGCGGGCGGATTTGTTGTGTTTAGACTCTTTTTCTGTGATGTTTTTCTGTCCATGAGTCATTTGAAGGGGACTTTGCGGGAGCCCATCCTTGCAAGGCGTGCCGCATCGGTGCCACAAAAACGTCATTCTCTGACCTGGCCTGAGACATCTTTCACTGTCGGGGTTTGCGGGTCATGAAGTCATTAGTCTTTCACTGTCGGCAAGTGTTTGGTGGGGTTCAACCGACGAGTCCTCACCGAGAGTGTTGGCTCAAAGTTGCTGCAAGCCCAACTGCCTCATGTCCTGTACCTTAGAGGCTCACACTCTGTGCGCCTATCATGGCATGGGTCACTCTCTCTCAGAGGTGAAGGCCACCCTGAAGCCGGAGGAGCTTCCTGAGGATGATGGGATTCCGATGGACAAGGTTTCCATATCCTTGCACATCGAGGAGGGGCATCTGAGAGGGTGGGTGACGGAGTTCTTTGACCAGCTCCCCGTGCGAGACTCCTTCAGGTCTCGCACTGACTATGACATACAAGACCCAGCAGGGTGTCCCAATGGGCTCACCCATGAAACCTATGTTGACTTCTTGCAGTCGACCGTGCAGGTTCTGGAGAAGCGACAGTGGGTAGTCCTGAAGAGGCTGGTCCGCCAGCATCGTGGGGAATGGTCATTCTTCTGCCTGCGAGACTGGTGTCCTGGCAGAAGATGAGGAGACTGTGGAAGGCAAACTTCCAGCTGGGTGTTTGGGGCCTATGCATGGCTTTGAATCAGGGCTATGGGTTCGCTCCTGAGGCTCCGAGTGTATCAAAAGGTGTGGCATTCTATCTGACACTGACAGTGGCCTTTCGCCTGGTTTTGAAGTGCATTTCTTCACAGAAGCTGTGTCTGAAAATGTCCTGTACAGTGTTGCAGCAGAGTCTTACCTTTGCTTTAGCAGCCCAGATTTGCAGCGGAGTATTATCTTCGCTCCACCTGCCAGTAGCAGTCCAGAAACGGGTGAAAGACAAAATCACTGTGCAGCCATTTGAACTACTGAACGAATGGCTACCACCTGCCATATCTGTCTCGCCCAGGCCTAATGCTCCATCCGACAGTGAGGCGCATTGATCACATCACGTGGTGTTTTTGAATTTGAGTGCATATGAGTGCATCAAAAGAGGAGAAGGACTTGCGACTTCAGTTTCCAATTGCCCTTGCGGTGTTTCAGGATGAAGTCACGCTGGAGCCCGAGTCCTTGAAGCCAGTGGGAGCCTTAAAGACCATGTCGCCATACAATGCCATGTCGCTCGACTCCAGAGCTGTGACTTTTCTCAGCTTTCTTTTTGCTCCTAAAAATCTAGGAGCCAAATGAATAGTGCGAGAGTGAACTATCCTGCGTCCTACTACTTACATACTCCCTCCACCCTAGTAGCGATGGCCACCCTAATAGCGGGCTTCAAAAAAGCGAAGCGATTCGGCGTCAAGACTCGGACGGCAGCAGCAAATGCGGCTCTTAGAGCTTTTCCGAGGCCGCGCGGAAGAAGCATTCTTCGAGGAGCGGTCTGCAAGCTTGAACTGCTTGGGCTATAGTTGAGAACAGTGAAAGTCACCTTTGCAGGCTGAGAAAGACCCAAGAAACTGTTCAGAACAGAACGTTTGTTAGAGCCTTGCAGTCAACAGGACCTCTTCAAAGAAAACGTTGCAATCGGAGGCGCTTTGCAGTGTGAATGGGCATGGGCCCTTCTCTGAAGCTGACCCAAGAAGACGTCTACTGCCTGGCTGACAGAAGCAATGGGAGCAATAGGGTCATGCTTTTATTTCAGGTGGTCAGTATTTTCGCTCTGGACTGCAAACTGGCCGTGCGGTCCTCCATCAGTCAAGGAAGCCATGAAGAAGCAGAAGCAGCTTCTGGTGTAGGGATAACCGGCTCGGCCCCCTTAGATATACACATATATATATATATTATATATATATGCTATCTGTCACGCAGTGATGATGTATTTTGACAACTAGAAACAGGGAATCTAAGTAATAGATGAACGGTCGAATCTGTGTGCCATTTTGGCTGCAAGACGTTGTTCGGTCCCCCCACTCCTTTTGTTTGCGCCATGCAACTTGATGACAGTCCCCATGAAGCGGGAGGGAGCTTGGGGGGACCGATCGTTGTGGACAGTGGAGATGAGGGCCTCCAGCAGATACCTGTTGAGACTGGTGACATCCATGAGATGGCGGCGCGGCTCTGGGAACTGCAGAGCATGAGGCTGGAAGACAGCCAAGGTGAGAAGGGCACCAGGTCTGGCTCACCCACTGAGGTCATGGACGCGGACACACAAAGCGAACCAGAGCAGAAGGATGTCAGCCCATTGGAGGCCCTCAGGCGAATGGTCATTGACAATGAGAAGAAGAGGAAAGCAGCTGGAGAAGATGAAGCAAGCGATGTTCATGGCATGGGCACCTCAGAGGTCCAGAAGCTGAAGTACCATGTGCCTGGGGCAATGAAGATGCCATGGGAGCGAGGATTTGCAGGTTTGGTGCTGAAGAAAGACTCCAGTGTGATGGAAACCAGCTTCCTAGATGACTGCAAGATGAAGTCCATTGCCATGCAGGTTGACGAAGGTGCAGCTCAGGCCCAACAGGAGAAGATCGAGCCGGTTCAGTTGACATTGAGCCACAAGATCGATGGGTCACAGAAGATGCCATGGGCTCGAGCACTAGAGACTGAGCGTGAGAAGGTCCTGGAGGGGTGGAAGATTGTCATTGATGAGGCAAGGAAGTCATGCAGGGCGGCACCTATGCTGGACCAGGCTGGCGAGGAGGTGCTCGATGACATCTTCGCCAAGAAGAAGAATGGGACCCTCCAGGTGCGGCTGAGTGCAATGATGTTGTACATTCGCTGGGCCAGAGCCAAGGGGCTTCAACCTTTTCCAATCAGTGAGACGCAAGTTACCAGTACGTGGATCAGCTTCGTAAGGATGGAGCCCCTGCAACCAGGGCAAACAGCTTCAGGAGTGCATTGGCTTTCAGCAAGGGCACCATCGGTTTGGAGGGCGTGGACGAGATTCTGCAGAGCGGAAGAGTGACAGGTTCTGCCCACCGGAGCTACCTCACCAAGAGAGTCCTGCGACAGAGAGATGCCTTGACTGTGAGACAGGTGACGACGTTGGAAATCATAGTCTCAGGTTCTGATTTTCCACTGCAGGACAGAGTCTTTGCAGGTCACTGTTTGCTCTGTATATATGCACGCCTTCGATTTGGTGACAGCCAAGGCATTGAGTCGGAGCCCCAAGTTGAAGGAGGCTATCTCGGAGAATCCCGAAAGTGAGGACGAACGTCACTTGGAGGCCGTGGTTACGGCGAAGTTGCGACCACCCAAGAAGGTACCACGAGGCCCACACGATCGTGGCAGCTGAACTCAGGAGCAGGTTGGAGGGCACGCAAGAGGCTGATGGGTCGAAGACCAGGAAACTCCCGCCGGTCGAGAGGAAGACGCGGTGGGCACAGCTGAAGGGCGTATGCCCACATGCAGCTGACCGATCAGCTGGAGCCGGCGCACCACGTAGTAGACAAGTTCCACTCAATCAGGGTGGAAGGAGAGCTGCGGTACATAGCGCCGCATGAAGTGCCAGTAGAGACCAGGAGCTGCAGAATGCGAGACGGAGGAGCTCATCAAGAAGGATGCATCTGGCCACCTACGTGCGCATGACGAAGCAAAGCTTCCGGAGGCTGATACTCGGACTGACCTTCGCCTGAAGCAGGCCTACACGAGGAGGGGGTTGGCGTTAGAGGTGGCAGATGTGATGAGCTACACGGCTCATGAGCGGCTGATCGACAAGATGTTTCAAGAATACCAACAGGAGCCGCCCATGGGCTACATCGGCGTGACCCTGTCGCAAGTGGCCGCAGCAGACAGGAGGGCATGGAAGCTTGATGTCAGAAGATCTCCAAGGTGACCTGGGATGAGATGGCGTGGGCAGGAGGCTGGCAGACTCGGCGGTGGACCGGGTGATCGCGAATCCTGCTTTCATGACCCTGCTGCTGCCACTACCTGCCAACAAGGGTAGTGGATCGAAGGAAGAGGTCAGCCATGTGGTTGAGCAGGCCAACACTGGGCAGGGCAAGCGGAAGCTCATGAAGGAGAACCAGAAGCTCAAAGAGCGCCTGCGAGAGGCCGAAGCAAAGAAGACCAAGGCAGGGCCATCGCGTGGTGATGGTGAGAAGGCGGCTGCTCCGAAAAGGATGCCGATCAAGATGCCCAAGGAGCTGTGGGGGTTGTCCCCTATGAAGCACGGAGAGCGCCTGTGCTATGGATTCCAGCTTGGCAATTGCAAGAACGGCAAAGACGGCAAGTGCTCGAAAGGCCTGCGCACATGCGTGAAGCGCTGGAAGCAGGGGCACGGGGCCTTGCAACGCAGCCAGTGAGCCCAGGCATTCCCAGATGTGCCCAATGGTGAAGTAGAAGTCGCCAGGGGCACTGGAATCGGTGTCCAACAGGAGAGCTGAGAAGGACCCCAATCCATGTACAGACACTTCTCAATCATTCAGGTGCAACCTTGGCAAGCTGAGTGAAAACGTCCCGGGCGTAGTGCCTCGTACGTTTGAATTGTTTGCTGGGTCATGCAAGTTAAGTAAGTGTTGGAAAGCGCACGGTTTTTCAGCGGTAGGCATTGATCACAAGAAGTGTAAGAATAGAGTTGGACCTTGTATAGTTTTGGACCTGTCACGTTTCCAAGAAGTTTGTGGTGCTTGGGGTAGTTGTTGACTTGACTATGTCACATGAAGGCGCGGTGGTAGTGAGAAACAAAGAAGATAGGGTCACAGAGTTGGAGGCCACCATAGCAGAGATGGAGGCACTCGGGACATTCCCACCAGCAACCGCAGCCAAGGTGTATGGGCGACTGAATTTCGCCGAAGCACGGTGCAGTGGAAGGTGGATGGCGCCACTCATGGGGCAGTGAAACAGAGGGCGCTCATGAATAGGAATGTCCGGGGCATCACATGGGAAGCCCTGCAGTTGTCCGTTGGCCTTTTGAAGCAAGCCCCACCGAGGAAGCTCGAGGCGGTCAGCTCCGAGCCACCGTGCTTGGTGTTTACCGAATGGAGCCTATGAGAGTGGAGTTGCCGCGTGTGGTGCTGTTGTGTTACCAATCGCATTCGGGTTCGAGGTTGAGAAGTCTTGGCTGAGTGGCATGGGTATGGTCATGAGCAAGTCATAGCCCAGGCAGAGATGCTGCCCATAGTTGTTGTGAAGAGCCAGTTCCCGCAGTTGTTGAGAGGGGCCAGAGCGCTGTTCTTTATTGACAATGATGGAGTTAAGGAGGCATTCGTAGCAGGTGCGACGAAGTCAGAGGCGTGCAGAAAGATGTTAGTGGAAGCTATGATCTTAGATGCAGGAAACAACAGCCTCAACTGGTACACCCGCATACCCTCTCCAAGCAACATAGCGGACCCCCCTTCGACATTGAGGTGGGATGTGCTAGATGAGATGATTGACTATCTCAAAGTCACGGCCGAGTACGACTACAAGAAATGGGGTAGAAGTCGGGTAGTCTAAAGTGAATGAGTGACAAGTAAGGTCCATAGTAGAGTGGTTGTATAGGTTACAGATAAGGTGGTGAGTGATCAAGCAGTTTTTCCATGGTCCATACCTTTTAAAACCAGCAGCACAGCTGCACCGCACATGTCCCCAATGTGGAAAAGCAAGAGTCTTGAGCGGATGAGACTTTCGTAGAGTCGAAAGCTATCTGTCACGCAGTGACGATGTATTTTGACAACTAGAGACAGGGAATCTAAGTAATAGATGAACGGTCGAATCTGTGTGCCATTTTGGCTGCAAGACGTTGTTCGGTCCACCCACTCCTTTTGTTTGCCCACCCTCCTCACCCTGACTCTGGGAAGTCCGGAGTTGGAGTGGGGGGAACCCAGTCAACGGTAGTCGTTGTGGGTCAAGTCCCGGCGGGGATGGGGGTAGAATGCTGGTAGTCTAAAGTGAATGATGACAAGTAAGGTCCATAGTAGAGTGATTGTTTTGTGTACAGATAAGGTGTTGAGTGATCAAGCAGTTTTTCCATACCTTTTAAAACCAGCAGCACAGCTGCACCGCACATGTCCCCAATGTGGAAAAACAAGAGTCTTGAGCGGATGAGAGTTTCGTAGAGTCGAAAATAGCTTTTAAAGTTTTTGTGGAACTTTAAGCAGACTCACTGTAAACTTCCATTCAGGAATCCGCGAAGCTACTTCGGGTTAACATTCAATCTACTCCATCCAGCGGGCCGTTGACATGATGAGGTCAATATACTGAATGTACGCAGGGTATTTTGTTGTGACATCTGACGGGTAGGACTGGTCGGACAATGGCTTTTGTTCATGTACCTGTCACCTGTTTCAACGTTTATCACTTGCCAGTCTTTGCTTCCTGTCCAAAGCACAGGTGCGCAACGATGATAGTGGTGGGAGACCTGGAATTCTCTGGCCATCGGACTCTAGGGCAAATGCACAACATTGCCACCCTGACAACTGCTGGTTCCAATGCACAGCAGCAAGTGACATGACCAAGCTATTCGAACTCAAAACGTGGTGACCTTTGTTGCCACACCAACGTTTTTTTCATTCGTGTTTGCAAACATGAAGTACATCAGTGAGTTGTGGGCAGATTGGTGATCTGCGCTGATTTCATTTGGTAGCCCAACGCTGCAGATTTTTTTTGGTTTTTATTTTCGATACAGAACCAACCCTGGTTCCGCCTGGTCATGTGGTGATTTGTGACAACTTGCCAAGGAGATGAGAAGAGGAGACTACTCGAGGAGGTGTGCTTTCAAACGGTTTGTCCTGCTTCGAGTAACCTGCTCTGTTCATTTGACCACGGTGGCCTAGCAATGTTCTTTAAATTGATTTAGCTACGCAGGCCGCAGAGAAGCTTGAGGCCAAGGTGCGGATTATGCTGGTTGGGGGTCCACCAAGAACAAGCGACATCACCAGGTCAGAGATCCATCGGAAGGAACTGACGAGGGAAGCCTTTCACCTGCAGCTCAACCGGCTTTGCAATGAAACGAATCAGAAGAATGCAGAATGCAGGTTAGCATGACGGAGGCCGCCCTAGCAGATGCTGAGGACCAGACGTATGAAAGAATAATAATATGAAAGCCTTGCACTTTTCAGTTTTGATTTGATCTTGGTGTATGTGCCGACATGCACCACTCATGCTTTGGAGGAGAAGCTGACGCATGCACTGGCGGAGACAAGAGCTTCAGCCAAAGCCAAGGAGCTGGCCGAGGCCCAATGCTCGAGAACATGCAACCCTGTGTTGTTTGATGGTACGTATATACTTGAGTACAGCCTAGACTTTCAGTTGGCGAAGCACCTTCTTTCAAAGAGGGTTACTAGATGCCCGATACACTCGAATCGCTCGTGAGAGTGTTGCACATGGACAGATTTTTGACAGAGGCCCAGTTCGGAGTTTTTGGGATCATTCCCCAGTGTCATTTGGATCAACCGTTTTCAAGTCAAGATTATCAAATGACTGGCTCTTTGCTGTGCTTCAAGGCACAAGCTGTGGATGCCCTAGCGGAGGCTAAAGTGATGGCTCACGCCAAGGAGGAAGCTGAGGTGCAGTTGGGTTAACCACGGTGCACCTCTGCAATTACCTTCTTTGATGTATGTCAATGTATGTGCCTGACACCTGCCGCACCCATCCACTTTACGTCAACAGACATGTTTCGTGCTGTTTCATTCTTCTCAACTCTGGTTCTTTTGTATTCAACACCTTCACCGGTTTGATGGTGATTCCAGTTGGATATCTGCCATCTCGACCAAATAGGACGATTAAACAGCGGGCCGTTGACATTCAGACAGTAGCCCCTCAGCCTGTGGAGAGACCTTGAGACCTGGCTGTGAGGCTCATGCTCAGGCCTCCAGCGATGCTCGGGCACAGGCAGAGGCCGGTCTTTCCGCTCGAGTCTTTCGTTTGCGCAATCGCTGGTCATAGTTGTAGTCATGGTCGTCATTGTCAGTGGCAAAAAGGATAAGGAACATAAGGAACATGTATGGCAGCAGCAATGCTAGTTGAGTTGTTGAAAGTTTACTACGATTTACCTGCTTAACAGCTGGCAACGATGCCGATGATCACCGCCACTTGTTGTGATGGGCGGCTGTTTGGATGAAGGTAGGTTGAGCTTCAGTCACTGTAGCAGCACGACCCCTACCACAATTTCCACAAGCATCAACTTGGGTTAAGCCGGTGCTGCACAGCGGGCTCTGCTTCGGTTAAGCTCTCTTTTTCTGTAGCTGAGACTGCGCAGGCGAGGCTTGCCACTGCCATTGCGGAAGTCAGGGCAGCGGCCGAGGCCAGAGAAGCTGCGGAGGCACAGTTGGGCCGTTTTGAATCAGGCAAGATAGATGCTCAGATAGATGAGAGGGGAATGGGCCAAAAGCTGTTAAGACCTTGTGGGCAACTTTTGTTTTGGGACAAGCATTTGGGGTAGGTGGCGGACGGTACCTGGGACCTAGGTATGGTCCAGTGTGGGCCAAAGGTCATCCTGCAAAGCTTGACTTTCAATGTTTGGTAAGGAAGGGGCTTGACAGACAAGGTTTTGGAGCACTGGTGGAAACATGTAATGGACTAGTACTGGGGTTCATGCCAGGCACAGTCCATGGCGGCCATGGCAGAAGTGAAAGCTTTTGCAAGTGCCAAAGACCATGCAGAGGCGCTCCGTTTTCGAAGGAGGTAAACACGTTCTGAAGATCCCTTTCTGCGAACATGCCGCCAGCTGCAAGGGTCCTTGATGAGGATTGGTGTCCTATCTCATGAGACCAGGTAGCAATGTGGCTAGTATGATTTCCAGCCTACTTTTGCTTTACCTACCGATCATGGCAGGCTCAAGCGGCTGCTGCATTGGCCGAAGCTAAAGCTTTGGCCAAAGCGAAAGAAGGAGCTGAGGCAGGAATAAGGGATCCATAACTTGGATCCAAGGATTGTCTCCTCGAAAAATAGGAGGATGAATAGGGTTTGCTGTGCACTGACTTCTTGCTGGGACAAAGAGGATGTTTACAAAAGGTTGGAACATCTACATTTCTGTGGGTGACCCACCGCTTTCGACCGGTTTGTTGGTGCTTAGCTGTTTCTCCCAGGGTATGATATGCTGTTTTCACATGCAACTTACGAACCCCCATCTTTCGCGAAAGGTGCAGAGGCAGGTGGCCTTGGAGGAGGCCAGAGCATCCAGCGAGGCCAAAGCTGCAGCAGAGGCGGTGGGCGGATTTTATCGATGAGCTACCTTTCTTGTTCGCAAAGCCTTATTCTTCTTCACAAAGGAACAGACGCCTGCTTCTTCTCATAATACACGCTCTTTGTTGGAGCACGACGTTTTGCATAAATTTAAATTCAGAAAGTCACATTAAATCAATGCATCCCATTCCCTTGAAACAGCAATTGCACGATCGCAGCTTATTGACCAACTGACTGTTATCAACTTGTTCATCCACCACCTGAACCAACTATATAAACGATTAAAAAATACAGTAGATAGAAATCACACCACAAAGGTCGAGGATTCGCGATTCGATCCACATCAAATTCAATTCAAGATAGAACGCTGTGATTCTCACAGCTTCCCATTTTTCTGATAGCATTTGCAGTTGCACCCAGTTGCGCCCGGTGTTTCATGCCACAAGCTCCTCCTCCGCCAGGCCCGTGCCTCCTCAGTGGCCGCACAAGCCGAAGTGGCGGTGCATGCGCGGCAGGCGGCCGAGGCCTGGTGCCCTTGGGTGTTTGAAGGTTTTGAAGGGGCGCTGGTTGGTCTATGCGCTGTCCAAATGGTACAGTAACTCTTGGGCCTGGTAGCGTCCTTGCTCCTAGTAGTAAGGCCCCCCCCTAGTAGCTTCTTGTTCCTAGTAGCGATGCCAGGAGCCCCTAGTAGCGTCCTTGCTCCTAGTAGCAAGGACAACCTGTTGAACTGGCAATGGTCTCTTGTGGCGGTTTTGTGTATGAATTTGTGTGGTGGAAGGCATGCTTTTCTGAAAGCCAGGTGATCGATTGATCAGGCACCCGGTGCTGCTTCCTGTTGAACATGAATGTGGATGAACTTGTTCCCCCTGGTGCAATTGAACTAATCTTGCTACTTAGCAGCGTATTTCAAGACCTCAATATCTTGGACTTAACAGCCTCTTCAATCCCTCCTTTCTTCATGATGAACCGGCGGATGAAACTGAATTCCAAGTGCCACCCACTCGTCTTCAAGAAGACGATCTCCAACAGTCCACAAAACCACCGAAACAAAGAACTCCAAGAAAGAACCAGCCTCTGCAGCAAGGCGTGAAAGAAAAAGAATACAAGGCCTCTGTGGGCAACATCACTTTACATAAAGGCTGCACACAGGTGACGCGTGCCGCACGTTTCGTGCCCTGCACAGCGACGCTTTTTTCAAGGCGAAGATCAAGGCGACCAGTGAGGCCTTGGCCCTGGCGGAGCAGCGCCTCAGTGTGGCGGTGGCGGCGGCCGGCGAGGCCAAGGCGACCGCCGAGGCCTGGGCCTCTGAGGCCACAGAAGCCTCCAAGAAGGCGAAGCTCAAGGCGGGGGAGTAGCCCAATCGATGAGTGACTTATCACTTATCCAATATTCCATTACTTAGACGTAGATATATATATATATATGCATACACACACACACACTCTTCTGGGCCTCTGAAATGACGGGTTACTGTTGAGGAATGGCACTGGATCCCATTGGCTTCCGATCAATGATGGGCAGAAACTAGAGATGGAGGGGCATGAGAACGCAGTACGAAAAGCATGTTCTCCCCGCCCACCCACCAGGTTTTTGCTACGATAGTTACCCACGAGGTCTTGCGGACCCCAAATACTGACAGCTCGAGCAAGATTAACTGCGCTCAGGATGCAGCGCATCAGCGTTTGGCTTCGATTTGCACGGAGGTGCAAGTCTGGAAGCCTGCTTAGCCGTGGCATACATTCAAGCTGCTAGACCCATCAGTGTATGTATGCTGGGGGTAGACTAATCCACAAGGACTTGCTTTTGCTGCCAGGCCGATGGTGCGTGGTCCCACAAGAGAAATTGTTTAAACTTAAACAAAAGGACTCCTTTTGCTCTCAAACACCTGCAACGCTGCTTCGGTAGATATGTAATGCCGTCCAGCAAGTCAAGAGCCACTGGTGTCTCGCCGTCCAAATACACTATTAACATCGCAATTCCTGGTCTTGAGGCAGTCTTCAGGTCTGCGGCGAAATTATGTCATGAGTCATGCTCCAACCATTCCAACCATGCTCTGAAGGCGCAGCCTCGGTGGTTGGCGCAGCGCCTCCAGAGCTGCGGCTACAACGTGCTGCGCTGGGCCTTTGAACACTTGGTGAAGAACGCCATCGAGCTTCGAGGAGAGCAGCGCTTAGGTCCTGCGGTCGCCAGCCAGGCCGGGCGGCAGTCGGTGGGGAGTGCGGGGGTTGACTAGAGAAATGGAGCATAGCATAGTGATGCGCGAAAGATGTCATTGGAAGTAGATCAAAGAGCGGCCGACACCTTTTTGCATGCTTTTGCATTTCCGTGCAGTTAGAGGTCAGTGGCCACACTCAGTTGAAAGCGAGGGTCCAAAAAGAGCCAGAATGCACAGCGTGCAAGAGAGAAAGACTGTTTTTGTTTTTCAAAAGACAGGTTTTGTATGAAAACAAAGGAACACGATTCAGAAAACGATCAAAGCGCGACTTTTTGGGCATGTGCTATGTACACGTGTTGTTTTTGCGCCCTCCCGCGTCCAACCAGACCGAAGCAATTCTCGAGAATGCCACCCTGTTCATTATTGACCACTTCAGATCCGTATTTGCGGGATATTTCCGCAACAAAGACGGATACAAAATACCTTACTTTAGGTAAAGCCATCAAACACGTGAAATTGGGAGGAACAGCACCAGGGTGAGATGGAGTGTGATTGAGCATCCTTGAAAGAGGCACAAAGCCTGCATCATGAGAACCAGCTTCTACTGGATTCGATGCGGCAGCAGCACGAGGAGATCACCTGCTATCTGCTACCAGCTTTACGGGATAGGATTAGAGTTCTGATTTTGTTCCCAAAACACATTCTGGGACTCAACCTCCACCCTTTGTTCTAGTTGTTCTATGATTTTTGTACAGAGTTGTTCATGGATACCTGATACCTGAAACCAGATCTCACATCTCCCCTTGTGTGGGAGCATGTTGGGAAATAGCTGGTCAGATGGGGGTCATAGCCCTAGGGGCCTTGCTAACCCCGAGCAGCATTTAGAACAAACATTTATATACATACACCTCTTGTTGATTTTGACTACATTCATTTGTTCCTCAGTTTTCGGTTTTCGGGCACCACAAACACACAAGTTCACCAGCAGTCGTGCCAGCTCTGGGACATCCGAAACTGGTTCTAATAGCGATGGCCTCCAACCTACTAGCGATGGCCTCGCACCCAATAGAGTCCTTGCTTCTAGTAGCTTCTTGTTACTAGTAGTAACACCAGGAGCTACTAGTAGCTTCTTGCTCCTAGTAGCGATGCCCTTGCTCCTAGTAATGATGCCCTAATAGCTTTCAGAGAATACCAAAATCCGAAACTGGTTCCTGAGGAGCGGCTTCGGCAAATGGCTTCTGAGCACGAGCAGCTACTGCAGCGGGTGGCCGACTCCATCACTCGAGAGCTCCAGCCCGAGGCCCCAGGCATCTGCAGGCATTTGCCCCACACTCCAGGTGGTGGTCGATGAGGGTTGACGAACATATACAAACATGATCTTTGAGGGTTCCTTGAAGCTGATTGGACTTGTGACAAGATGCTGATCCTCCAGGCTGGTGAGCGGCCTGGCCGAGCAGCGTCGCCTCCGCGAGGCGTTTGCGGTTTGGCGCTGGGCGCCCGTGCGCTCGCAGGGTGCAAGACGGATCCTGCGGGTGTTGAAGCGCCACTTGCAGAGGAGACCAACAAAAAATCATATATAACTAGTAACAAGGATGCTATTAGGGGCTCCTGGCATCGCTACTAGGAGCAAGGACGCTATTAGGGGCTCCTGGCATCGCTACTAGGAGCAAGGACGCTACTAGGGGCTAGCAAGGACGCTACTAGGGGCTGCTGGCATCGCTACTAGGAGCAAGTAGCTACTAGTAACAAGGATGCTATTAGGGGCTCCTGGCATCACTACTAGGAGCAAGGACGCTATTAGGGGCTCCTGGCATCGCTACTAGGAGCAAGGACGCTATTAGAGGCTCCTGGCATCGCTACTAGGAGGAAGGACGCTATTAGGGGTCCTGACATCGCTACTAGGAGCAAGGACGCTATTAGGGGCTCCTGGCATCGCTACTAGGAGCAAGGACGCTATTAGGGGCTCCTGGCATCGCTACTAGAAGCACGGACGCTACTAGGGGCTCCTGGCATCGCTACTAGGAGCAAGTAGCTACTAGTAACAAGGACGCTATTAGGGGCTCCTGGCATCGCTACTAGGAGCAAGTAAGTAGCTACTAGTAGCAAGGACGCTATTAGGGGCTCCTGGCATCGCTACTAGGAGCAAGGACGCTACTAGGGGCTCCTGGCATCGCTACTAAGAGCAAGTAGCTACTAGTAACAAGGACGCTATTAGGGGCTCCTGGCATCGCTACTAGGAGCAAGTAGCTACTAGTAACAAGGGCGCTATCAGGGGCTCCTGGCATCGCTACTAGGAGCAAGTAGCTACTAGTAACAAGGACGCTATTGGGGGCTCATGGCATCGCTACTAGGAGCGAGTAGCTACTAGTAAGAAGGACGCTATTAGAGGCTCCTGGCATCGCTACTAGGAGCAAGGACGCTACTAGGGGCTCCTGGCATCGCTACTAGGAGCAAGTAGCTACTAGTAACAAGGACGCTATTAGGGGCTCCTGGCATCGCTACTAGGAGCAAGTAGCTACTAGTAACAAGGACGCTATTAGGGGCTCCTGGTATCGCTACTAGGAGCAAGTAGCTACTAGGGGCTTCTGGCGTCGCTGCTAGGAGCAAGGACGCTACTAGGGGCTCCTGGTATCGCTACTAGGAGCAAGGACGCTACTAGGGGCTCCTGGTATCGCTACTAGGAGCAAGGACGCTACTAGGGGCTCCTGGTATCGCTACTAGGAGCAAGGACGCTACTAGGGGCTCCTGGTACCGCTACTAGTAACAAGGACGCTATTAGGGGCTCCTGGCATCGCTACTAGGAGCAAGGACGCTACTAGGGGCTCCAGGTATCGCTACTAGGAGGAAGGACGCTACTAGGGGCTCCTGGCATCCCTACTAGGGACGATAAGGGCGCTACTATTGGCTCCTGCTATCGCTACTAGGTATCGCCAGTAGGAGAAGGACGCTACTAGGGGCTCCTGGTATCGCTACAAGGAGCAAGGACGCTACTAGGGGCTCCTGGTATCGCTACTAGGAGCA